GCCAGAATTTGTTTTGTTTTGCTACATGGCTGGAGACAATCCATAGATCTTACCGTACTTATGGCTAATGAGGCCAATTGATTCAAACTCTGACTATGTTTGGATTAAACCTACAGATCCCCACCCAGCTGTAGGCAATAACAATGGTTTGGGATGGGATCTGTAGAACAGCAAAATAAAACCGGGCATTACAATTGGAATCATATGAACATCACAATGCAGTTGTGGCTGTCCATCAAGAACAGCTTTCCCTGACCTGATGACATTTTCCTCATATAAAACAGACAGAATTACTTGCGTTTTAGTATTTTCTTCTCTATAATTATTATGAAGCAATATGGTTTTGCACTCTTATTTTGTACTGTAGATTGTTTTGACAGAGAAAGAAACAGAAAACCTTTGGCCACATGCAATAGAATTAAGTGTTAATTTTGCCAACACGATGTTCTAATCTGCTAGTTCATAATTAAACACACCTTTTTAAAAATGTATGTTATTTCATTACTTTATTAAGCCCAGGAGCTATCCTTTTGATCAATGTACTATTTATAGACCTCTAGCATCTCTGTTTTTCCAATTACGAGTCATTATTGTTGCCTTTTATTTATTGACTTGTTTATGCAAAATCCTACGTATGTTCACTACAGGGAGAACGTAGGAACTCTTGGACTTCAAATTGAACAAACACATGCAATGAAGCACTTTAGAGATTCGGCAATCCTGATCCCAGGAACCCATCAGTTAAGTGTGCTTTTTTGAGTGGGCACAAGAAAAGCCTCTACAATTTGATTAAAAATAAAGGAACTTAAAATGAGGGAAATCTTTCTTATCAAAGATTTGTTGCTTTATTTTAGTTAGGATGAAAATAACTATATTAATTGTGCAACTGAGATTGGATATTTTAATTTTGGGGGTTAGGGTGTTTTCCCTGACATGTTTAATGTTGCTCTCTTATTGATTGGTTTTCTTTTGTTATTTTAAAGAAGTGTTTACCAATGTACTACATGTCACTTAACATTGCTTCACTGGTTAAGGCGGCTTCTCTACTGATTTTTTTTATATGTATGTTTCTCTCTCTCTGTTTCTCTCTATATTTCTGTATATACAGACATAAACATTCTACAATATGTTTTTCTCATCTTCCAGATCACCATTAGGCAGCAAATCAAACAAAAACTCTATAAATTTTGCTGGCATCTACTGGTCATCTGGATTCTTGCAGCTCATCTGGTAGTCTGACTATTATATATTCAGGTAGTCCTTGCTTATTGTCTGCCTCACTTAGCAACCATTTCAAGTTATGACAGTGTAAAAAACCCAGCTTTGTGACCAAGCCTCACATGTATGACTGTTGCAGTGTCCTGTGGTTTCATGATCGCCATTTGGGTATTTTGCAACCTGCTTCTGGCAAGCAGAATTAATGGAGAACACGGAAGTAAAATAGCAAGTTGTGGTCATGTGATGTCTTGCTTAACGACCAAATGGGAAGTGATGTCGTAAGCCCATCTCGGTCATGTGATTTTCTGCTTAGTGATCGGGGCACTTAGCAACAGAGTTGCCGGTCCCAATTGTGGTAGCTAAGCAAGGTCTGCCTGTCTGTCTGTCTGTCTATCTATCGATCGCTCGTGGTTGCTATCGGAAAATATACATACACACACAGACACAAATATACATATACATTTCAAAATTTCTCCTCGTTCCATGAATTGTCTTACATTAAAAGGAATATTTGGAACTCAGTGAGATTCACAATACTTCTCCATACCTTTCAATTCTTGCATGTCCTTCTTGCTTCTATTACACCCATGCACGGATTCATACCTTTCCTTTTGGCTCTTTAAACTTTTTGTCTTTTTCTCTTGAGGATCCCATCAACTCCATCCATGTGTGTATAATCAAACCATATTAACCTTTATTTCATACTGCTCATTCACTTTTGTGTCAGTCCTCATTCATTCATTCATTCATTCATTCATTCATTCATTCATTCATTCATTCCATTCCTCTATCTCTTCTTGTTTATGGCACCTGCTTCATCAATGCCCCATTGCAACTGTATTCAACCTTTATGTTTCTCTTGACATACTCAACTCTTACTTCCATATAACAGTGGGCAAAAGCATGATCTTTTTTATAGACAGCAATGTTTGATTCTTTCAACAAACATTCTTTCCTTGCAAGAGACCATGTTCCACTCATTACCTTTTTACCAGCATTTGTATGTATTAACATTTCTCCATCATTCCCCCCCCCCCCCCCCTCTCCCCTATTAGTCTGAAAGTGTTCGCCCCCCCACCGTCTTCCGTGCTGTTTTGTTTTTTTTTTTTTTT